GTTCTACAAACAGAAAAAGCAGAAAATAAACCTAATTAGCATTGCCATGTGGCTGGCTGGACATCATAATTACAATTACCAACTATCATCAAAAATATAATAAAAATACACATCTATCTGTAAATAATAATGTCAGTAATTTACTTACATATCCTTGGACGCACACAGAACACAAAAACCAGTGGATGGCGAACTAAACCAAAGATACAAAGCAGATTGTGTCTTCAACTATCCTTCATCTGAACTGCCATCTTAGTATTGAAGGAAATTAACAGAGAACATGACTGGGCAAAAACCCCAGCCTGCAATACCTACCACTAACCAGAGGGGGGAGCTGAGTGGCTACTTCTACACACCACACATCAAACAATCCCAAACCCAAAGTCCTTCAATACACAACCCATGGCAGGGATTACCAAAGCAGTGACAGATATCTAGTGACACTCCCTCATGATAAAATAGCTTATTTTTGTCTCCAACTGGTTTGTCTGGTTGAAACTTAACACTCCCTAATGAACCACTTTATTCTCTTTTATACAAACCTAATATTGTTTTTAACACATTTTTGTTAACAAGTTAAGAAAAACTAAGGAAATGTAAAATATATTAAGATCTAAAATGTATTATTTAAATTCTAACACACACCAAAAGGCAGTTTTTCTGACTAGAGAAATTACAAGTAGTAGAGGCACACAACTTGGCCTCAGCCTGCGCTCAGAGGCACACCAGAAAACTCGCCCAGTGTCCTCAAACGACTGCTGTTTTCTGAATACAACATACACAGCGAGTCTGCTGTGGCAGTAAGGTAAATGCTGACCCACCTGTGTATTCTTGAGTAGCATCCAAAGGATCAATCCACACAGTGATGCTGTCAGGAGAAATCTCTCTGCCTTTCTCCAGCTTTAATATGTCTTCAGGTATGTTGCCACTCCAGGTAACTGAATCTGTTTTGCTGTCTTTTTCTTCACTGAACACCTAAATAAAAAATAAAAACTTTAGGCACAACCAAGACCACCAAGATGGGTAGATATTTTGATTTCCATCACACACAGCATCCAAGAAGTGACTCTGGTTTCTATGTGTATAGATTTTAACAATCCTGGAATTATATTTGACTACTGGCTTTGCTCACTGTGATTTGAGGGAACGTGTTCTTTATCAGATTAAACATCTTTCGGTGTGACTGCAGGTCCCCCATGGTCAGAAGCTCTTTGGCCCCCTCTTTTGTTTCTCCCTTTGACTTCTCGTTGAGAGTATCTTCTTCGCGTACTCTTTTAACCTGGAGAGGAGGGAGGAAGATGTACGTTAAACCAGATCATAGAGCCTGAAGATATTAAACAGCACTTTAGGTATATAAATGTTGTGTTTGGAACAAAAAAAAAAAGAAGAAAAAAACAGTTCACTCGGTGAAACACCAGTAAGGATGAGGGTGTTTCATTGCTGAATACAACAACAATGGGAAACCTAATATCCAGTAAAATATCCCATCATGGACGTTGATATTGCAATAACTAAACATTCATAATGTATACTGTCATGAATATGACAGTGTTTGCAACACATCCATCTTAGGTTTAAAAAAATAAAAAACAAGACTTGCTTCTACCTCTTTCCCACCAAGTTGTGCGGCCTCCACAGAGACAGCCAGCAGGTCTCTTAGGTCCACCTTTTTCTTCTGTCTGCAGACAGAAAATCCCAAAAACAACAATAGACAGAAGTATTATTGTAATAACATTTATATATCGATACCAACTTCACAGATTTTAGTTCCTGAACCATTATTACAGTCCGAAGCCTTTTAAAAGACTTCAGCTGTTTCCTCTACCCTGCAGAATGACTATTTATACCAATTACAACATTACATTTGTCATTACATTTGTCACCAGAAGATGAATGTTAATTGCTATAAAGTCTTGTTTTTACAGGATTAACAGTCACTTATTCTAAAGCATTCACACAAACCTTTTTGTGTTACTCTCTAAATATGAATATAAAAATGGACCTTATCTGTAAATTGCAAACACCTTCAAGAAGCAGTTTAAGCTGATTAAAGTGCAAACATAGTTCAGCTGTATGAACAAAGATGGCTGCAAAACCATCTCTTATAACTGGAAAAGCACCAAAAAAAGAAAAAGAAAACTCCCAGAAATGAAAACAAACTGATTATAAAGAAAATAAAGTTGTCGTAACTGTAAATTTACAGTCATATGTTTATTTTACTGTTTTTATATATTTTGTTGTTTTTTTTTACTATTTTTCAAGGCTGCATTTTAAATAAGATGATATTGTCCAGAGCTGTTCCAAACGATATTTCTTTTTGTTTTACATTTGTGTAAACAAAATGACAAATAAAATCTGTTGAAGTCTAAAATGCACTTTTTAATTTATAGAAAAACTGATAATGTTATGGTGATCTGAATGTTTCAATGGGAAATTTTTCAGTTCCTTCCTAATCTGATGGATACTTTAAGGTCTGTGAAAAAGTTATAAAAACAAGCACCTGCTGGGATTTGTCTAAATCAATAAAACCTAGTCACACCTCAAATAAAAAAAGGAAAACGGAAATCCTTATCTGCCAGGATGGCCTTTTAGCTGCAACTCAACTTCTTAATAATTAATCTAATTCAACTTCTTAATCAAATTCTTGGCACAAGAGGGAACTAAGTTTTAAAAATTCAGCTCATTGTTTTACAGAAACATTAAAGTGTGTAAAAGTATAAAAACAAAAGCTTGTTAGGATAATCTTGATTAAGATTTAAATGATAGTGTCGTAATATTTGATGTACTCGCGGTTAGCACTATGATTTATAATAATTTATTGAATATATATATAAAAACCAACAAAATGATCGAACCTGAAGTAAGACAGATGGTTTGAGAGGACCCCGGCGTACAGGTGGTAGATGACGCCGACTCCCAGCAGGCAGAACACCGCCACTCCGAGCGGAGACAGCCGGATACCCATCGGAGCCATTGTCATTAGAAACCACTCTGAGGATTATCAGCTAAAAAACAAAAACGCAGGAGAACTTCTGATGTTGTCGGAGTTTATCAGTGTATAGACAGCTGACGTGGCTGTCCTGCTTCACAGCTGCTTTATGGAAAATATCTCAAAAGAGGCACAGAACGAACAAAAAACACGACGATGAGAAAAAGTGAAAAGAAAAGAAACGCCTCACATCAACAAGCAGTAACGTCTATGAGCCCACTAGCCGCTCAGCATCGCCTGACATTGGAAATGTCCCGAATTACTCGGCGTCTCTGATGGAAACAACATTCCGTTTCTCAGACGCCTCAAATTCACTTTATTATCGCCGTCAACTCGCAAAAACAAGCCACGACTCCAGTGCTGTCGAAGCGGAAAATGAACAATCACACCTCTGTTCTATCATTTTTCGTAGGGACGGTCAACTGCTCCGACTTTTCACTTCCGGGTTGAGCTTGTCATAGGACCGGAAGTGTACCTTCTTTTCTGTTTTTTTAATTTATATACATATATATATATATAAATTAAAAAAACAGAAAAGAAGGTACACTTCCGTATTTTTCTTTTTTTTAATCACTACTGAGAGATTTTTATTCAGTATTATTATTGGCGTTTAATCTATATATATATATCTATATCTATCTATATATAGATCTATAGATAGCTATAGATCTATATATAGATCTATATCTATAGATCTATATATATATATATATATATATAGATCTATAGACATATAGATATATATCTATAGATATATATAGATATATCTATATATATAGATATAGATTAAACGGCAATAATAATACTGAAAAAAATCTCTCAGTAGGATTAAAAAAAAGAAAAAAAAAACAGTCTTATATTGTTAGGATAATTATCACCTCGGTATTGGCTGCCTGTTGCATGTCTGAACTAATTAGGACAGTTCCTCTGTCTGGATATACAGTTATAATCTTAATTTTGTACGTGGCAAAGATTTGGAAATAAAATGAGAGCGGTGTCCTTCAGCTAAGATTATATGGCAGACTGGCCCTTAGCAAAAAGTAGTATACTTGAAGTAAATTCTATTAAGAATACTTAAGTATAAGTTAGGTTAAGTATATGAAATATAGTTTAGAATGAGTAAACTCTAAGTGCAGTGCCTGATTTTAAGTATAAAAATTAGTGCACTTTTAGTATACTTGAATAAACTACTTTTTGCCAAGGGGGATATGTATAAATGCCTTTTTAACTGTTAATCTTGTCCACTTCCTGAGAGGTGAGCCCGGAGGTGAGCAGCTGCCTTCTGTACATTCTAAACAATTTCTCTGATCTAAGTAAGATTACAATTTCTATCAGAATCTGTTGTCATGTCTCCTGGTTAATTTATGCATATAGGTTATGAAGTGTTATTTAAAGTGTTTGTCCCGAGTGATCTCTTTTCAGGGAAAAGAACCAGAGAGATATGGTGCTAAGGTGCATCAGCCTATCTTTAACAATATTTACAAGTATTTCTGAGTGAAACACATTATGCATCCCTCCCCTTAAAAGAACAGGAAAGATTAGGGTACAAACCAGAGCGAGAACCTTTACTTCACTTTTAAAAGTTTATTTTTTTCAGAGAACAGTAACAAACTCAATAAAAAAAGACATCAAACATGACATTTCATCATACCCCCAAGATGTAGTTACATTAAAATATCTGAAATTTTTTTAAAAAGGAACAGCAATAAATAAATAAAAATATAAAAGGGCTAGACTATTTTAGAGAGTGGATAATGAGGTGTATTTGGCTTCATTTCTATAAGCGCAGCATTAATTATTTAAAATGACCCATTATCTTACAAAAGGGTTACAACAAGACTTCCACTTTCTCAGGGAGATTTTTCCCATTTTTAACTGGTTCTTTGCAATTTAAGATAATTTTACCACAAGAACTATTCTTATTGATGGGGACATAACAGTTTGCTAAACTTAATATGAAACAGGTGGAATTAAAGTGTAAGTTAAAAAAAAAAAGTCTTGAAACAGTACATTTGTTGACAAATTTTTATTTGATTTCGAAAAATTTAACTGTAAGAAAAAAACTCAGGTGTGACCATATGAGTTTTGATGATAGCTGATAAAAGGAATTCCTTCACAGCCAACCAAGAAGTGTATCAGCCTTAACCTCTGTGACATGATTTTTTTTCACCTTCAGCCAAAACCTTAATTTTCCTTCTCAATTCTCTCCTCCTCAATGTTCCTGCAGACTGCATTGAAGGGATGCAGAAGTCCACAATTTTCCTGTGTCCCCCATCAATACCATTATCTCTGCTGTCCAACAGAAAATATATCATTCAAAGACACTTCGTCTCACTTCGCTTCTCCCCCTTCTGTTGGCCATTTGACAGAAATATGGTACGGCTTCAGGTCTTCCTCTGATACAAAATCAGGCGCATTGCTCATGAGGTCGTGACCGCGGAATGACTTTGGGAAGGCGATGACATCACGAATACTAGAAGCCCCAGCCAAAATGGAGACCAGCCGATCCAAACCTACAGGGAAAGACAAAGGAGATAGCAAACCACCTGCAGCTTAACTAAAAGCATCATTGGAGAGTGTTTCCTCAATTAGAACTGTTGTCCCAAAGAGAGAACATTATACTAACCACCCTTGTAATAATTATTTTTTAGGGATGCAACAGAAATGTCTGAACAAAGCGACAAACACTTTAACTGCCAGATGGTCTAATTCAGGGGTTTCTGAGGCTGCAGAGCCGACAGTGAAACCCTTTACAATAGCTCCTCACTGTGGCTTAAAACCACAAAGAACCAACTAATAATTTTTAATACATTTTGTTATATCTTATATGTTTTATCTTATAAAAACAGAAATATGTTTTAAGATCTATATTTTTCATAAGCTTGGACTTAAGGTGTTTATATTTTTACATTGACCATTAAGAAGGAAATCCATTCTTCCTCTTTATGAAAGTTTAATGTTTTGTCCTTATTTTAACCCTGTAAAGCCTAAACAATAAAATATTTGTCAGAAAATTCTCATTTCTTTTAAACCTAAGTTGGAAATTGGCAAAACAAAATAGAACCATACATTTTTATTAATTTAAATTTATTTATATGTTGCACTGGTGATGTAGACATCTCAAATGCCAAAATATATTACACTTTGTGTTAAAGGGTTAAAAACTACATTAAAAAACTAAAACAGTTTGTTGTTCAAAATGACAACAGATTTGTTGTAGCTGATATATAACTGAAAATAATTAGCTGTGTTTCTTGTAGTATTTGCTCTAAATAACTTTTTAGCTGAAATTTGGGTAAAATAGCTCTTTGGATTTGAACGATTGCAGACCCCTGGTCTAATTATTAACTTTAAATCTTCCTTGAATTCTTGCATTTAGCACTTTCCTATAACAACTGAGACAGTTGTGAAACAGTAAACTATCTAAGCGGGTAATTTTCTAGGGAAAAACTACATATATTCTTGTTATATTTATTGACTGAGGCTTACATCATAAACCCCCACACCAAAAACTAACATTTGTTTTTAACGAAAATTAGAATTATGCACAAGACAAGAGGGTTTGAAATTCAGAACTCTTATAAACACCTAATATACAGGGAAAAGTGAAGACCTGAGAATTACCTATAGGCCGTCACTCTCTGAAAGGAGGATAAGTTACAAAAAAAAATAATGATAATAATCTAAATAAGCTGGACTTTCAACCACATCATGACTATAAGAGGGAAGATTTACAAAGCCTGGAGCACAGCTGGGGTCACCGCTTCAACAACCACAGACATATGTGGATTAGAGCTACGTTACATGGACAGAGTTTGCTACAATGCTGGTTGCATGCTTGTCAGCCATCCTGTTAAACAGGACCTATTTAGTTTTATCCATTTTGATTGTTCTTTGCCAAAACAGGCTGAGGCTTCGGATAAAACATCTATGTTTATAACTACTCTAAATCTTCTAATTTAACATTTTAAACAAGAAATATCTTTTTGTGTTCTCTGAAGCAGAGGTAGGAGATGTGGAGCCATGAGCTCATCTCTATATCATGTATTTGTTCTGCCTAGCCAGTAAATCTCGTGAGTCCTGTGGAGTAAAAAAATGTTGAGATTTGTCTGTTCTTAGCCTCACAGGCACCAAACGAAGGTCATGAGAGATAAGAATGAGTTCACAGAGCCTCCTTCATGGCATGAATGGGAGGACTGCTGTTTTGAGGAATCCATCTGGCAAGTGAAAGATAAATTAAACTAACCGGGAATGGCCTTGATGAACTCAGATTGTTTTTCCTCAAAATGTTTGTGTGTGAGAAAGTTCTTTATGTAGGGATGGGATAGTTCCAAGGGAGAGTGTGTGTATTGGGAGTTGTTGTATAAATGTAATTACTGAGCTGGCCCCAGTCAAAGCTCTATCTCTCCGTCTGAGGATGTTAAATAAATTAAAATAAGCTAAAGGTTTCAGCATTATCCTGTTTAGTTAAAGCTCCTCTGACATGGAGTCAAATGTCCCCCAATGTGGGTTCTAGCATTAGCTCCCTGCAGATAAGAGCTCACTTACCCAAAGCAATGCCTCCATGAGGTGGTGCTCCAGAGTCGAGAGCCTCCAGCAGATGTGAAAGAAGACTAGGATCCTCCTGTAAAGGTCAAAATAGATTAATATTTAGCTTATCAACCAACACTTCCTCTTTACTAAGAGAGAAATTTTTACCTTGAGGATGTTCTTTAAGACGTGGAGCTGCACAGAGGATTTATGGATGCGAATGGAACCTCCTCCAATTTCACTGCCATTCAGTACCAGGTCATAGTGTTGCCCACACACCTAGGAAGCAACACAACATTAGGCTGAATGCAGTCTGTCTATTTTTTTATTTTCCAAAAGGGTAATAATAAAAAAAGATTAAATAAGTACTTTATGTGGCTCTTTGAAGAGCAGCTCCATGTCCTCTGGTCGAGGAGCAGTAAAAGGATGATGAGCCGACTCCAACTCCTCTGGTTTATCTTCCTTTGGTAGAAAAAGAGGAAAGTCCACAACCCACAGGAAGTTAAAGGCAGTCGGGTCACGGACTAATAGGCCATGAGCTTCAAGGAGCTGAGCAGCCTGGAGGCGAAGACTACCCAGCAATGGGCGCTGAGAGCAGAGAAGAGGAATAAACAGGATTTTGTAAGCAGATGATAGAAGTCTTAGTCGTTCCGTTTGTCTTAGTCCTAAAAACTCACCACACTGTTAAGAGAACCAGCTGCCAGCAGCAGCATGTCTCCTGGAGTGGCTTCAGTCCTCCTCAACAGGTCCTCTGTGACGGAGACAGGAAGCAGCTTCTTTAGAGGAGACTTTAATGTCCCGTCTTCTCTGATCAACACCAGACTCAGCTCCTATACAGAAAAAAGAAATAAAGATTTACAAAAAGGAGGTAAATAATCATCTGTGCAACTTTTATAACAATTACTGACTGTAGAGTGGATCAAAGTTTATGATTTTCTTTTGTTTGTTAGTTTTAGGGTGGTAGAATTCTGTATTTGTTTTTTCCACTACTGATTTCAACAATTCAACCATTAAACACTCTCTAGGATTCCCTTTAAGTCAATTTCTGATAAACCTTTAAATGATAAAAACAAAAAAAGCAAAGACAAGCCTACCTGTCCAAACTGAGTCTTTGCTGTTTGCTTCAGTTCTTCCAAATCTTTCCCAGTTAAAAGTTTCTTTCATCAAGATACAAGAAAGTAAAATATTTAAACAAAAAACGGCTACAATGAAACCTTTATACAGCCTAAAAATTGAAAATGAATTTATTCCTACAGCTCCACTGGGGACACGGATGGCCTGAACCGAGCCCTCTGGTTGGCTGAGAGCTGAGTTGAGGAATTCAATCTGAGTGGAGGAGAAAAGCTCACTGAGGTCTGTCAGCTGAAAAAGCAAAATACAAGAAATTATACACATGAGAAAAACACTTTTTTTTTTACTAAATTCCTTAAATCTTTCCAGTTAAGAATCTGCTTGTTTGGTGTTTTCAGTCACTACGGCACCAGGTGAATAAGTAAATACGCTGTCTGCTGATAATCAACCTTGTGCAAAAGGGAAGCAGTTTGGACATCTCCAAGGAAAGATTTTTGATAGTTTAAATCACTAACAAGTGGTTTAGAGACTGTATTACATATATGCTAATATTCTCCTCAAAGTTAGATGGATATTAAAGCAAATGCAGCTGAAAAGAAAGAAGAGATTTTGACAAATGAAAAATCTTTTTTATTACTTCTAATGAAATAGCAATAAATGTTATATCACACCATCAGTGTGAAAAGCTTTGGTTGTTAAAGGCATCCGCAATTGGTATCAACAATAGATTTTATTTGAGAAATATTTATTATCAATATTTAAACACAAAAATACTGAAAGCTGTTTGGTTTCAATCAATTTAAATTAGATATTTTTGGACACAGAAGTTGCCGTGTTGTTAACGCTGCAATGCATTCTGGGTAAATGCTAGGTCCTGTACTGCTAGCTAAAACAGCAGTGAATAATTTTAAACTTTTTCAGTCTGAACTGCAGCATGTTAAAAATAATACAAATTTAGAAAATTACTAGGAAGAGGAAAGGTCAGCTGAAAAAAAAAAGGTGTTTGAGGGTCTCCTTCATAGAGATGCTAACCCAGAGGGAAAGCTATGCTAATAAGAGCTCCAGTTTCAGACTGAAGCTGCTTATGGCATCAGGATTAAAACATTTTGTCATGTGTTATGACTGGAAGTTACTAAATGTTCACTTAACAGCTGTTCATTACCGTTCAATTTAATGTTGACGGCAATTTAATGTTGACGGCAGAAGCCAAGCTGATCGCATTTGTTTCTTTCAACATATAGCTCTTGTATAAGCAGCAATACAGTGTGGGATGGTATAAATTTACACAATCAGAAGCAACACAACGAAAAAACAACTCTGGTAATGGTTAGCCTTCCTCTGTAGGTTCCAGTGCAGTACGACCTTACCACATAATCAACCCAGCATATATTGCGCAGGTGAAAAACTCCATCGGTGAAAAATATATTACAAAGGACATACAATTTTTTAAAGTAATTATAAGTTTTTATGTATCACAAAGTGGAAATATTAAATTAATAGGAAAATAACAACATCTTCAACTAGTCGTTGGTCCCTTTAAAAAGGCCAAAGGTTCTGGTCATAAACTCTAGCAGAACTCACCTTCATATCAAATCTAGTGTCCGGTTTGTCCACACCGTAGTCTCGCATTGCTTCATCATATGTCAGTGTCTGGAAAGGGACCTTTAGAGAACCCCTTTCTGTAGGCCAGGAATACTGCAGCAAGCCCTCCACCAGAGATATAATACCTGCCTGGTCCACAAATGACATTTCTATGTCCACCTGGAGGGCCAGAAAGATGATCTGTTAGTTTAGATAACAGAGTGAAAATTTTTCTTTGACTGCATGTTTAGGATTGCTGTCCTGCTGGAAGATGAACATCATCTTCAGCCTCACGACTTTCCAGCCACTAAATATTTTTCATCCTGGATTGAGCTCTATTAGCCTTCCAATCAGCTCTGAACATAATCCAATCCCTGGAAATGAAAAGCATCCCTACCCTGACATGAAATTACGTGTTTTTCTCCTACACCTAACATTTTAAAGGCCAACAAGTTTTACTCTGATTAAAGTGATTTTTTTTGCCCTTTTTGGTGTGTCCCTAACTTGCGCCAAAACGCAAACGGGACATATTACGGCTCACTTTACAGTTGTTTTCTTCTCAGCTAAATTTCTGCAGCTCCTCCAGAGCCACCATGGGCCTCAAACCTCTGAGGTTCTGCCTGTTTAACACTTCATTTAAATCTTCCTTTAATCCCAGTCGGCCTCGGCAGATGGCCGCTCACACTGAGCCTTGGTTCTGCTGGAGGTTTCTTTCTGTTAAAAGAGAGTTTTTCCTCTCCACTGTCACAACAAGCATGCTTAGTGTGAGGGATTGCATTTGAGTCAATGAGTCGATGCAATTAACTAGTTTTCCATTGATAGAAAACTGAATCAATTTGACTGTATGATTTGGTGAACTGCAAAGTGCCTTGAGATGGCATGTGTTGTGAATTGGCGCTATATAAATAAACTGCTCCATCTCACCTGAGTGAACTCAGGCTGTCGATCTGGTTTGGAGCCTTCATCTCGGTAACACCGAGCCACCTGGAAGTACCTGATATACAAGACAAAGAGATGACATTAGGATGATGTAATAATTTAATAAAAGCTATTTGATGTAAAACTAAAAAAACTGATCACATCTATGCACAATAAACAAGAAAGCGGGAAATAAAATTATTTCCGATAATCGGCTAACTTTAAGGGAGAATTCCAGCTTTTTTCTAAATTAGGTAGAAGTGCATCAAATGTGTGTATCATGGGCTGTAGTGGTTCACAAACTTTTCTTGGTGGACCCCCCCTTTGATTTAAAAAAGTGCCCCCCCCCCAAAAAAAAATACCCTTTTGACAGCTGAAAAAAGAAAAGCCATATTGCAATAACTAATACATTAAACTAAAATCTTGTTCAAATGACTAACCTTTCACTTCTTAACTATAACTACTGTAAATTAGTTTTTTTTACTATGTAACAGATTACACATCAATACTTTGGAAAAATAAAATAAACTCTAATTTCTGCCTCCTCTCCCTGCAGTCAGATTAGTCAGACCTCAGTCAGACGTTTAATTAACAATCTAACGTATCCGAGTCTGTATATGTAGATGTTCTCCTGCTTTAAAACATCCAATTTAGAACATGGTTAAAATGTTATTATTTGATTTTATTCTATCAGTTGCGTTAGGAAAGGAACAGATGAAAAAACAAATTGCCACACTTTAAAAAAAAAACTAGCTATTTAATTCTTTAACTATCATATTTGGGCCTATAGACTGTGGATGAAAATGTTCTTAAACACTTTTAACTAAAAAAGGAAGAAAAAAAGGGACTCTTAAAAGATTAAATTAGAAACGTATTAGAGCATAAAGGTGCAGTGAATTGGACCCTCACCTGTCAACTCCAGCCACCATCAGGAGCTGTTTAAACTGCTGCGGGCTCTGAGGAAGAGAGTAAAACCGGCCCGGCTCTCTGGAGGGAACAACAAATTCTTTAGCGCCCTGAAAGGCAAAAATGATTCTCGGTAAAATATCAGACATAGTCGAATCAGGTAGCTTGCTAAAGGGACACCAATTTTAGCAATACAAGCAAAATATGGAACGTTTATCTGAAAAATTCATTCAACCATGAATTGGAGCTCTAGTTGAGCTCTTTACCCCGGTACATTCTAGTGGGATTATTTGACTTTCTGCTTTTAAATCCTGACTAGACAGAAATTGTCATCTTGTGACCAGAGGTTTTAAAAAAGAAACTGCTTTATCTGGATGTTATTAATTTGGCCACTGGGATTACATTAAAATACCATGGTGTCATTTTTATCATGATTTATAATTGAAATCTCATATTAAACAAGTTTCTACAATTTCTGTTTTTTTTCAGCTCAAGAATAATACCTAGTCCGTGAATTTTTACTTTAGGGCTGGATTACTGTTCTTTACTATCAGGAAGTCAACAAACTGGAGTTAAAGCCTTCAGCTGATCCAACATGATACAGCGGGTGTTCAGACAACAATTAAAGATATAAGATATTTCTCCTATTATAGCTTCTGCTAATTGGCTTCTAGTTTGTCCTTCTTTAGAAGTAGGCCCTACACAACCAAGCTTCATCTTATATCATAGATGTAATTATTCCTTATGCTCCTAACAGAGCACCTAGCTCTCAGTCTGCTGGTTTACTAGGGGTTCCTCGAATTTCAAAAAGTAGAATGGGAAGCAGATGTTTTATTATTAGGCTCCTCTCCTATGGAACCAACTATCATTTTAATCAATAAGGCAGACACTCCGTCTACTAATAAGTCTGGGCTTAAAGTTTTTTGATAAAGTTTAAAGTTAAAGTGGCTCAGGTTATCATGGGCTATCCCTATAGTGATGCTGCTTTAGGCTTAGACTGCTGGAAGACATAAAAACACTCTTCCTCCTTCTGCTTCACTGTACTTCCATTCTCAAATTTTGGACTCCATGCTCTCTCTGCATTTTTTCTCTGTTCTCTGTTTATTGCTACATCTGGCCCGGGGTGCTGTTTAAGCAACTATGTGTTCTCCTTCCACAGATTATCCACGTGGTCCTGTACTTAAACAATCTGTCTGTATATTCTGATTGAATTAACTCTGACATGAGATGTAATATGTTGTGATTTGGAGCTATATAAATAAACTGAAATAAGATAAGTATGGTGAAGTACAAGGACAATTATATGAAAGTACATACAAATAAAATAGCAATGCGTGTTTGTATCATCAAATAAACCTGTTAAATCCATTCAAGTTTCATGCTGCAGCCTGGCAAATTGTGAAAAAAAAAAATTCTTTACAAATAAAATATCTGAAAACCTTCTTACCCCTGGGGTTCTTTTGAATAAAGTAGGTGTTTCAACATCCACAAATCCTTAACAACCAGGAAAGAGAAAAAAACAATAAAAAATCAAGGCACGTTTAGAGAAAAAAAACCAGAGAAAAAGTTCATTTCGTTGTTCGTACCATGCACATTACAGAGATACTCTCTCATCTTCATCACTAGCTGGGATCTCAGTCTGATATTCTTCTGCATCTGAGACGACCTCAGATCCAGGTAGCGATACTGCATCCGCAGCGACTCAGACTTCTACACAACCCAACAGGCACAACATTTTAAAAGGTTAATTAATTATCAATGTTATTTCTACTTATTAGTGAACACAACTTTAACACCAGCCTCTTACTTTGACAAAGTCCTTTATCTCAAAAGGCAGCTTCCGGCACATGTTGAAAACTTCCACATTCTCTGCAAGGACCTCTATATCTCCTGTTGGCATGTTCTGGAGAGAACGCAGCATGATTAGAAGACTCACCATCGATCTGAAAATAGGCTGATTTCTTAAGTTTCCTCTATTTTATGATACAGTTTTACATTAAATTTATTATTTTTTAAAAACCTGCTGATGTTGCATACACTCCTGCAGCCATTTGTTACTTTGAATTAAACTAACAATGTTCTCTTAAGCTTGAGCTGGAAATCACAGATGTAAACCAGCAGGGCCCTCTTCACACCATCTACACATTTTATTTTTTACCCATAACTGGTAGTTAGGACTGAAATAACCTGTTAATTTGTAAATCTATCTGGAAAGAGCTGATTAATAAAAACTGCCTTATTTGGACATGAAAATCATAACCATGGAGCACTATTTAACGAAGGTTTTATTCAAAAACATTCAACTTAGGTTTAAAAGTATTGGATCTCCCTATAAATATATTACAATAATGTGTTTAATAGACATAATAACATAAAACACACTCAAACCTTGTTCTCCTGCCCGGCTGGTCTCCTTCTGACTGTTCCTGTGACCTTGATGACTGATTCCACTGACAGACCTGACAGGATCGCTTTGATGCTGGTCGTAGACTAAAACCAAAAGAAGACTCAATTTAAGCTGTGATCTTTCTTGTTCTGTTAAATTCAAGTTTTTAATTTTTCAGTGCAATCAGCAGTTTCCTACAGTTCTAGTATCTGTAAGGTCATTTCTTACCTCTTCCTGAGGAATCAGAACTTGTGTCAAACCGTTAAAGTCTCGCAGGATGACAAACAGGTCTTGTCTATTGTAAGCATAAAGAAACAAGATTCATTTGAAAGCTGAAAATGGCTTTTGGCAAACGTTTGGGTAGAATTTGCCAAGGAATTTTCTGTTTTGGCTTTTTTACAGTAAACATATTGTTGATATATAAACAAATTAAAAAGGAAGGAACCTTAAAAAAAGGTCGGATTTTGTTACAAGGATGACATTATGAAACAAACAAAAAACAAACAAACACACAAACACCTAAGCAGACAGCTTTGTTTTCATGACATATAGGGACATTTCATTGAGTTGCATTCATTTTATATGGCCTGACCCTTACCCTATTACCAACATATACGTAATCCTAATCCTAACCTAAACTGAATTCATACCTTAGTCCTAACCCCAACTCAAAGAGCGCAACTTTACCATATGGGGACCAGATGAATGTCCCCATATATAACTGTAAGTCCCAACAATCTTAGATATTTTACAAAATACCTTCTCCACATTGTAGGTAAAACAACACCAACTAGCCAGGTAGCAAGTCGGATCACATTTCACAACCAGCAACTATCTAGACAAAAACTCCTGAGATAATGAAGGATATTTGCATTCACCCTCCTTTACTCTAAAACCTTTGAATAAGATCCAGCAAAACAAACGATCATTAGAAGTCACGCAAAAGTCAACCTGTCTATAATTTAATCTTAATTTCTTTGTGGTAGCGCCAGGTGTTTGCTAGATAACATTAGAGAACAAACAGCACAACAAAGACCAAGAAGCAGAGCTGAACAGCTCATGGAGAAAGTTCTAGAAACAGGTTAGTTAGCAGGGTTAGGATGTAAGACGACATACTGAGGTTTAAACATGATGAACTGTTCAGTTTTCTCTGACAATGAGAGGAGCTGAAAATACAGACATGGCTATCCACCTCAAGTGGAAAGAGCGTTAATCAGACATAGGAGAAGAGGACCATGATAAGCTGCAGAGTTCAACAGCTTAGGTAGGAGGAACACACACCAGGACAACTAAGAAGAAAGTCTTAAATAAAGCTGGAAGAATTGCAGGTTGTGGTGTTCTGGTCAGACGAAATGAAAAATGTACTTTTGTGCATAATGATTGGTAGAAAGCAAGTGCATCACTCTGAATCACAGTGGTGAAGCATGATGGTAGCAGCATTATGATATGGGGTAACTGATGGTGCAACCCAAACACGGGGAATCCTGGAAGGAAAAAAACTTTTAGATGTAGCAAACGACTCGAAGCTGATGCAGAGGTGCAATTTTCACCAGGACACCTAAACATGCAGGCAGAGAGACGGTACAATGGTTTAGATAAAAAAAATCAAATTGGTACAACCTAATGGGCAAAGAATCTCTTACAAGATTTGAAAAAAACAAAAAAAAACAAAAAAACTTTTCTGACTAATAAGTGTTTGAGGATGATGGAAAATCCATATATGTGCAAAGCTGAAACATGATGTCAATATTATTGGAGAAGCTGAATACAAATGAGCAAAACATTTTTGGTTTATATATGTCAAAGAATATTCAAAATCATTATTTATCATTCATTAACCTCAGAACAGAATTCAAGTTAATCTATATCACACAATCTCTTAAAAACATAAATGTAACCTTATGTCCTGAATACCGGTACTTAAACTGTTTAAAAGAGTATTTGACTACATATTAATGACAAAAAGCTAACCTGAGATACTGGACCCAGCCACACAGCGTGACCTTCTCTCCCACATGATGTGACCTCAGCTCTCCACAGGTGTGAGTCCTGAAAGACAGGCTGCTGGGACCTGCAGACACCACAGCAGAAAATGACTATACTTTCAGTAAGTCCTGTAAATGCACACAGCCAATCAAAACTCCAGACACAGTACAAATGCCGTCAGTATAGGGGAAAGATTCTAATGGACCTTGAGTGAGGGGGGCCCCAAAAGAAATAGAAAAGATTTTACCTGCTAGTCTTTTGAAATATAAAAAGAAAATAGTGAAAATAAATAATTTTTGTGTTCTTCCTCATTTTTAAGCAGTAAACAGCAAAACAAAACATGAATATATTGACCAGTCCTGCATCGCATCAGTTCTCCTCGTCTGTCACCTGCAGTTTGCTCGCATCATTTTAAATAGTGATAATGAATTAAACAAATCAATGCATGTTTACAGCAGTTTAAAAGCTTACACTTTTTTTTTTTTTTCGCTGGGGCCCAATATCAATGTTTTACATGGGGCCCCAGAATTCCTGGCAGCGCCCCTGAATGTCATTATTCCAATATTTCCTGCTCTATAATTTGTCATCTTTAACCGTAGATAGATTGTGCCATTTACTGAGGTACCTGAAGTGGCAGAGGGGGGCATGGAGAGTCTGTTGGAGCTGCTCAGCTGTCTGACTGGTCCTCTGATCATCAGGGATCCCCTACATGAGGCATGTTTATACACAGTGTGGGCTCTGAAGCCTGTTAGGACCCTCTGAAGCAAAAACCTGCACTTTGTTGCCATTTCTAACAAACCCAGACACAAGTTAAACCATCGAGTTATAGAGCGTGTTATAGCCTGTTAATATACATCCCCTCCTGTTAGGAAACCCGAGCAGCCGCGGTCACTTTTCTCTCCGTAACCTGGTTCCGCATCTCACCCCTCCCGGTCAGGACAGGTTTCCCCGCTCTGCACTCATGTGGATGGGTAGAGCTGACTGTTAGACGGCGATTTAGAACGCTTCCGGTTAGTTATATATCAGGCCTACGTAAAGAGAAGTGACGTCATGGTGTAAGGCAAAACTATTCAATCCACGAAATCATCGATCTGAGCTTGAAATAAACTGTAATTACCCCTAATTTGATTCTTAAATGATTAAATCCATTTTAACGACTAGTGCACATATAATATATAGACGTAAGTAAAAATATCCAGTGACAAAACACTGTTATGTTATTTTTTTTTAGTAGGTATATTAGGTAGGTATATTTTCCACCATAACTTACAAATCAATTCTTTAAAAATCCTACAATGTGATTTCCTGGATTTTTTTTTCTCCTCATTTTGTCTCTCATAGTTGAAATGTATCTATGAATGTAAGAACATTACAGACCTCTCTCATTATTTTAAGTAGGATATCAGTGGCTGATTAATGTGTATTTTTCCTTTTTTTTGCACTGCCATGTTGCACATACAGTAACATTCTTTTTGCAAAACAATCCTCAATGAGAAACATTCTGGTTTTTCAATCACCAAACACAAACCTATGAATAATTCAGACACTTCTCTTTGTTACTGTTGAAAATGTGAAATAAAAGAGCATCCAGTTTAAGTTATAACAATAATGCTGGACTGTGCACACGCCTACACACACATGACAATGGCAAAGGTGAGTCTTGTTTATGGCCAGGGCATAAAAGAGGACCTGGAATCCTCATTGATCTCTAGAGACATTAAGCAGACATGTTCACAGACTTTTTCTTGTATGTGCTGACATTGTGAAATATTGCTGTCCCTCTACTTTGACTTTATTAGAATAGAATAGAATAGAATAGAATAGAATAGAATAGAATAGAATAGAATAGAATAGAATAGAATAGAATAGAATAGAATAGAATAGAATAGAAAATCCATTTATTGTCCCACAATGAGGAAATTCTGGTGTTACAGCAGCAAAAAGATTATAGAAAAACTGGTCACACAAATGTGGACCTTAGAAAAGTGTAGAAGAATAAAAAAAATAAACAAATAAAGTACTGTACTGTAAAGTGTTTTAACAATGTAAATACTGTGCACCTGGAGAATAAATAACCAATATAGAGCGATGGACATTTTTACAGTAATGGATATTTGAAAATAGCAGCAACATCAGAGATGTGCAAAATGACAGCAGCATGTTATTTAACTGACTAAGATAGAAACTGTGCAAAATCAGCATGAATGTAACAACTTACTGAGGTTGTTGGGAACAGTGATGGTTATAAGGTCTGTTTGAGTTCTGAATAAAAATAAACAAGAATGAAGTATCAAATGGGATTTTTTTTTTTAAAGATTGTGTATTTTCTTTTGTATTTGGTAACATTAACTAGAAAAGCTTCAACAAAATACAGCAGACTAGAATTTAAATAATCGCGAACCAATATACCAAACGTACAGTAGAGGGCGCTGTTGTGCCAAATCTGAAATATTTTGGTGAAGAAGAACAACCTCCAGTTTAAAGTGCAGAAATGTCAGGCAGCAGACTAATGAGAGCCATCAGAGTGAGTGAGTTTGGTGCTCCGTCTGTCCTCAGGCTGTGCTCGGATGTCCCTGTCCCTCAGGCCGGACACAGACAGGTGAGACACCCCGCTGCACGCGAGGCTCTGCGGGTCACAGTCCGCAGGTGGAGGAGAGGAAGTTTAGCCACAATAACAACTACAGAGGAGCTGCAGCCAGAGCTCTCAATCATTAACAGCTCTGACATGAGTGTTAATCTTTGCTTTCCTCTTTGTAAAAAAACATCTAAACAACACATTGATCTCACTACACCGATATCTTTTTTGCTTTCATAAAGTCTTCTGTACTTGGAGGTTATTAAGTAATATTTGTGACCTGATTTAACTATCATTCTGCAAGGCTGAGGTCAGAGTTCATGCGAAGGATTTTGCAGCTTTAGACCTTTTTTTTTTTTGCAATTAAAGTCACCTGCCGCCATCTTGGTACTCCCCACTGTCACTGAGTCGCACTTTAAAAATAAAGTAATGAAATTACCATAACTATGTAATCAATACATGTACATCATCAATTTAGCCCTTTTGGCACATCATCAGGTAGTGTGTGTGTGTGTAATATTCTTAATATCAGACTACACTATTATTCAATTCAGTTTATTTCTATAGCGCCAATTCACAAAACATGCCATCTCAAGGAACTTTACAATTCACCAGATCATCCAGTCAGATTGATTAAGAGTTTTCTATTTCAGGAAAACCACTTGATTGCATTGACCTGAATGCAATCCCTCACACTAAGCATGCTTGTAGCGACAGTGGAGAGAAAAACACACCCTTTAAACAGGAAGAAACCTCCAGCAGAACCAGGCTCAGAGTGAACGGCCATCTGCTGAGACCGACTGAGGTTTAAGGAGACAGAAGCAGAAATACAAAAGCAGCTGTAAAAGGCGGTCCTGTCCAGGAAACAAACAGCTAGGCAGACAAGCTACGAGCCAACTCCCATGTCAGAGGACGAAGACAGCACATCCAGACAGTCATGGTCAGAGAAACAGGACTACACTGGAAAACAGGTCGATCTCCGACATCTATAAACAAAAGTGTTGATGGCGGCAGCACAGCTGATATTTCTCTCCAGGATGGAGTCACAGCCAAACAGGAACAGACAGAGCATAACGTTAGAGATTGAACTAACAGATTCTGCAGAGTAGGAGAATAGAGAGAGAATGAAGCAGAATGCTCCATTTACACATCAATTCTGTTGTCATAGATTTGCATTATATAATATATTATTTATAGACTTCATGGACGTCATACTGAATATGCAATGTAATGTGCCTATTTGCTACCAAATATTACAGTAGTCTGCATATGTTGGTGAAGGTTCTCAGCCATCCAGGTCATAGTCATTCCAAAAAGCAATTCACTGGACTTGGTTAGAACAAAACAAGCCTTTGTTGGGCGACTGTATAAAACCTGGAACTCAACGCTATTCCTGACATTGAAAAAGCTTCCTGGATGGGAAGCGAAATGTCTTCCAACTCGGAAACCAAGTCCAGTGGATTGCTTTTAATTTTTTTAGGAATAGTCTACATATGGCATGAAACAGCTAGTGTGTGACAAAGTGAGGAATCTATCTTTATTTCAAAAGTCTTAAGCCTCCCTGAAAATGAGAAAATTATTGTTGTTGATCCGGTAACACACACATTTTTTACATTTGCGAATGGTCTGACTAGGGAGTACCAATATGGCGACTGGTGACGTCACAGCACCCTGCACTACTAGCAGCCTATCGGCAATCCAGTGAATAAATAGGAGATCATTGGATGACATGCAAAGGATATAAGGTTAAACAAGTATGATCAATATTTTAAAATCAGGCAAGCCATTACAAAATGATTCAAGTTGTTTTAATTTAGTAATAATTTGGCCATAGAAAAGAACCACATGATTAGGATTTTGTTTGTCATAATCACAGTTTTATGTGCTTATGTAAGAATAATAATTAAAGCCCATAATATACAGACTCCTGGCAGTTTAAAAGTCTTTTCAACGTGTTTATTCTGAAGGGTTGATTGCAAGGGAGCATCTGTGGAGGGAGCTATAGATATGGATAATCAGACCTGCTGGAGCTCATCACTAAACAAAAAATAATCTGTGGGTTTTGCTGCTGTAATGCTGATATAGATTTTTTACATAAATAATGGTAGCACTGATTATTGACATGCCATTTTTTAATCAACAGTAAACAAAAACAGATGGCTATCTGTGTTTCAGAATAAATATTCCTTTTGTGTTGCGTATTTTTAGAGATGACTTTCTAATGGCAAAGCAAACCTCTCATGGTAGGGAAAATCATTTTCTGTTTCAGTCTGGCAGGGATCTGAATAATTTCACTTAAGGCTTAAAGTAAAAAAAAAAAAAGATAGAATAATACTTTTTAACTGGTTCCCAGCTCTGATAAGGTACTTCTAAAACATATTTAAGATCTCTGTGACGTAGGTACTGATCCGAGTCCAGGCTTGTGGAGTGAACCCCGTGGAAACATACATCCGCTCTGGATCGTACGCCCGGAAGCCCGCCCTGCCGTACACGCCTGGCTCTGATGTAGCAGGAGTGGTGGATGCTGTTGGAGAAGGAGTCAGCGCAGTTAAGGTTGCAGTATAAACCAAACACCATCACAACACAAGGCATTAATTTTGTTTTTATTTAAAGAAATTACCACATATCAATATCTATCTTTTTTTCATATTTTGGGGGGAAAAGAATGAAAATCATATAATTTAAACATAATTATTTTTGTTATAGACAAAGATGTGTCTTCTGGAAGGAAAACAGTTTGAACATATTTCCCCTAGTAGCTCATTTTATCCTTTTTTATTGAAATAAAATCCCTAAAATCTTAATATATCCATGTTTGTTCCTCTGAGGAATGTTTTCCCGGCTCCATACTTTCACCTTGTACTGTAGATATATGGGGGAGGGGATTATTGCCTATTCCGCCAGTTCAAGTTACCCCTACAGCATTTTAATTAGACCCAGACCTAGACTCTGCCTGGGACCAGGACCCTTTATTTCACCAAATTCATTCAGCCCAGGTAGTTTTACTTGCATGCTTTGCCATATTTATATCAAAACACATTTACTTCAAACATCCTTTGATTCTATAACATAGACGTAACCAGGTTCTTATGCTGGAAAGTGTCTCTAAACCATGATACCTCCACCTCCGTACCTCTCATTTTGTATCAGGATGTTTTGCTGGAATGATCTGTCTAAATAAACACATTTCTCTTTTGCAAACCTTAAATTGGTCACATACTGTAAGCTTGTGTACAATTTAAAAACAGCCATTTTAAGGGTGGACATTGCAGGTGTGTCCTAATTTAGTATTTTTCTCGGTATATGTCCATATTAGTGAGAGGAAAGGCAAAGGTCTTTGTAAGGTTTCTTAATTCTGTCAGCAGATGTAAGTACATTTCAATAAAATGTTCTATTTTCTTTTTTTTAATTTAAAACAATCATTCAAGGAACT